ATTATAAAGATTGCCTCTGGACAATAAACAACAGCATCTGTCCTCCTAACCCTGAGCATCTTGAGTTTTCCTTCCTGTCCTGGAGGAGGTGGAGAGGAGAGAGGACAAAACAAGACAGCAAAGGCAGTTCAAGCTAAGGCTCCACAGCAGTTCCAAGGGGCATTTTATTGCAGCACACTGAAAGCAGAAGGAGCAAACTCCAGTGCATTATTTAAGACTACTCTCACACTGCTGACCCTTCATAGATGCAGATCAATATAGGGGCCTCTGCCAGAAAAAGGAAGCCCCAATATGAAAAAAGTAAATAGAATCCATATTAGAGATGCTGAAGCAAAACAATACAGCCCCAAAGAATATCCGTATGCCATAATACAATAGCACAGTCCTTGGGAGGTAAGTAGGTAGCAATGGAGAGAGCAGAGCAACTCCCAGATTCCTACATTGTTCATAGCACTCAGTCAGCCCTGACCACCTCTTCAATAGTCCATCACCCACACACTCACCTACACAGCCAGAGTCATAAATCAGGAAATAATGGGTTTCTCTATTAAAACTCATTCCATTTCTCACTAACCATCCCATTGCTCTTCATACCTTGCTTTCCCCCAGTACCCACAAGACACTGACTGCCTGACACAGCGGCACATAGAAGCATAGAATAGTTAGGGTTGGAAAGGACCTCAAGATCATCAAGCTCCAACCCCCCTGCCATGGGCAGGGACACCTCACTCTAAACCATATCACCCAAGGCCTCATCCAACCTGGCCTTGAACACTGCCAGGGATGAAGCATTCACAGCCTCCCTGGACAATTTATTCCAGTGCCTCACCACCCTAACAGGAAAGAATTTCCTCCTTATAGCCAATCTAAAAGATGAGGAACAAGAAGAGCACTCACCTTGTAGGTTGCTCAGCCTGCTTCTCTGAACCATCTTCCACACCTCTTCCTGCTTGATCTTTCAACTGCAAGACCTCTGAAGCATGGAGTGCCTTGGGGCTGTTTTATACAATGCCTGAAGCATCAGCTGACTTGGGAGGTTTCCCATCAAAGTGCATTCAGCTGTGTGTTTACCTGCCTGAAGGACTGCTTTCCTCACAGTTGGCGGATATTTGTTAATCAAGTGAGAAAAGGTATCGTGAAGGTTTGGTCATGTGCTGTGCATATATACATATCTATATGTGTATATATGTCTGCGTGTGCATGTGTGGATGCAGAGATATACAGACAGTTCATGATAGACTCACAACTCATTCCTGTCTATAAATACATATAGAGAGGTATAACATTCTCAGGCTCCCTAAGACAGATTGTGGATCCTAAATGGTAGAACTAAATGGTAGAACATATCCATACACAAGACTGTTAATTAGTAGAAAGGAGTAATGTTCTCCCTTTCCATTTTCCACTTTTCTTTGGAAGCATCATTTCTTGTTTGTACACTTCTGCCTTTTTACTCTGGTAGCAGGTAGCCAAGTATTAATGAAGATGACAACGAAACAGAGCCCATTTGACCTGTGGGAAGATAGTCTCTGTGCAAAACATTGGGAATCCTTGGCTGGGGACCATCAAGCAGTATGGCTAAATATTCACCCAAGGGCTGTGCTTTTAAACCAGCCATCTAAAGGTCTTGTTTTTGTGGCTACACAGTGTAAGAATACTAAAAACCAGGTGCCTGTAACAAGCCATTTGTGAGCAGCCTAAGACTGAAACCTGCCTGCAGAGCTAACATGGCAAAGTATCTGTAAGCACTAATAACCTTGCCAGCCACGATGGGCATATTACAATCCAGATAAAAGCAAACTGGACCCATAGCTGTATGGAACCAGCAGCGTTTGCATGTCTGTGCTTGCTCTGACCACTGGACTTGAGGTGATGATTTCCTGATAGGATTTCACTCCTATTCTCATTCCAGGTATTTCAGAGGCCTTCAGAAAACCATTCACTCTCCCTTCATTCCTTCAAACATAAAGAAGTGACAAGAATAACTAGGACTGGATGCTGGGATTATGTCTGTGAGAGAAATGTACAAGAAGAAGGAACCTACAACCCTTTTCTTCTTATTCCATCCCTTCCCCACATCCTGTCCCTGACAAGTCCATACATATTTGTCTTTGCTGTTCCCAGCTCTTCTTATGTATAAGCAGACATCTGGGTAGAGTTATCATCACAGCAGTCATATTCCTGAGCAGTAATGACCATCAGCCAAATCAGCAGCTGGGGACTGTATTTTCATGAGACTTCTACTTACCGTGGATAGTCATCTGCAGAGAACTTTCTGCTGTACCTCTCTCTCCCAAAAACCACAGTTTTTCAAGAAGACACACTAAAGGCTTTTCAGGTTCTTATTGCAAATAAAATATGAAATCTAGTATGCTTACTTGCCTGCCATTAGTGTCTCCAAATGAATCTCCTGTTTGAGGTTTTATTCTCTTGCCCAGTAAATTCCTTCACGTAACACTGGTTGCACCTATAATGCACTGAAAGGTCACTCTTAGTATTATCTGTAAACCTAATTTGCTGTTTTATACCTTTCTTTCACCTTCATATCTGCTGGATGCTCCATCAGTGGTCCAGAGTGAGCTCTGGCTGTGCCCTGAGGGCACCTCAGAGGTGGTTGTCCCAAGGCAGCACCCACAGACCCAGGTCCTGCAGGAAGGGTGGTCCTTTCCTGCTGGCAGGATTTTCACATATTGGAAACCTCTAATTCACCTTATAGAGAGGGAAATCTGGTGCCTTCTAAGGATTATCCGGCAGGCCAGTCACCTCTAAGGATGGACTTTTTGTTTGCTGTGACAGATAAATTGATCTGCCTCTTAATCAAGTTGTGGACAAGATGTTGACAGTTCAATTTCTCATGGAAAAACTCAAATGTTCTTTTTGCCTTCATAGTTCAAGCACCTTCCTAGCAGGTTCAAGGCCTCAAAGCATTCACTCAACTTGCTTCCTTTGTTTGCAATATCTCTGCATCAAGTAATACGGCTTGTAGCATTTTTAGGAGGGTCAATAGAAAAGCAGCAAGATTGCCTGATGCTTCTGATGCTTTTAGTACAAATATGTAGGTCAAATGGGACCTTTTATAAAGCCCTATCCACAGCAACCTAATGGCTTTACATTTATTGCCTCACATTTACTTCCAGCAGCTCTGTTGCTTTTCTATTACTGAAGAGCCATGATAATAACAATCCTTCTCCCTCCTTTTAGGTTTCTACTAATGACCACCAGCAATGGGATTTTGCTGGAAATGAACTTGCTTGTATTTTGTTTTTGTTTTCACAAATCAAATGCATTTCTTACATAAAAGACAAGTATTTAAGATGGGTTTTTTCATCTTAAACCCTTTTCCCCCAGAAAGCAAAATAAAACTGGAAACTAAAATGTACCTTATACCAGATCTGAACTCACGCTTTTTAATACTAATCTTGATTGCAGAAAAAATAATTAATCTGATAACCAGACATAGAGATTATCAGCATGGCATCTCAATAAATGCTGTTACCTCTGTACCAAATGCATCTTCCTGAAGCTCAGCAGAGACACTGCATCTGGCACTATGGCACAAACCTCTCTACCCAAGGGTGTATAAGCTGTTCTCTGTCACAGTGTTTGCTTCAGTGATGACCTAAAGAGAAGATCTGAAAGGAGATGTGTGTTTGTGCAAGGTCTATGATAATGTAGCACAAAACAAGAACAGTACAAGAGAATACTAACATGATAATATTTGGTTCTTATATGTTGGGAAACAGAAAACTATGGCACATGAAGTCCCCATTGAAGTCTACTTACTGTGCAGCTGCATAAGTGCAGGAGAATACTCTGAGGCCTTTAAACACCAGTGAAAACAAACCAAAAGCCAGCTACGGAACTCCTGATGCATATCCTCCCCAAGATCATGGAAAGGAAAGTAACAAATTCATTGGGTTTTCTCAAGTTCTGGAAGAGATAGACCTTATTGACTCTAAAATAGAGCCAGTTCTGGTCTGGATGATGCCATTTCAAACCCAACCATTTGCTGAGTAGTTTGGAAGTGATGAGATACAGAAAAGGTAGAGATTTATTGGGAAATGAGAGTAGAGACTAAGGCATGTAATGTAACCTGCCACCTTTCTGAAGTGACCCTCAAAAGAAGCAGCAATGTAAGGATTTCTGTTTAAGCCATGGGATTTATCTCTGGGTGTTTACTACAGTTGAAAGATGAAAAGTTTCCTGTTGAGCGTAATATGTAGACATTTAATAATGCCCCCCTGAGATTATTCTCACCATTTGTTGGTTACTTATTGTTTGCTTTGTGAATGTTTTAGTACCTCCAATATCCAAGTGCTCCTCCCATACTCTGGACTTCAGCACTCGAGGTTTTAAAAGGTCTTACATGAAGTCATGTGCAAAAATCCTGGAAGCAGGTACACAGACACAACAGTGAGAAGGATGAGGAGTTTCTTTGAGCTAGAGCTATAGTGCCACAGGTTTTGTAGCTGGGCATGTCCTTCGCTTCCTCAGTTTGTGTTGCTGCTGAGATAGATTAAGGGGACTCAACTTACCTTTCCCACTGAGTCTCTTAGAGTGTGTCACAAAGATGGATCAGAAGAACTGTTTAGTTTGCTGTAAATATCAGTACCTTTAGCTTTAAGTGATCTCAGGTCAAATAGCAATGATTTTTTACATTCATATTATGAATTTCTTTTAACTTATCTCATTCAGTCCCCGAGTCCTTTAAGAGTAGGGGCAGAAAAGCAGGAAGCATAAGGATTGTGATAATGCTTCAATGCTTAAAAATTCATTTGAGATTCCTTTGTCGACTGTATCACTGCTATCCTTTAGTGTTTTACACAGATGGATGAAGGAGCTCGGAATGCAGAATAAAGAAGGAAGAGGCAGAAGGAAAACATCAGGTATATAGTCAGAGCATTATATGCAATTGAAATTAGCAAAAGTGTGATGCATATGCAGCAGGGAGGATAAGCATTACATGAGAAAAAACATTACCAGTATCCATGTACAAGCCAAAAATAATCAGTTTATTGTTCCATCTGTGTACAATGAATTTGATCCAAAACTCGCAGAAGTTGCAGCAAGGACTCCTATCTAACATAGTGAGACATAGCTCAGGCCTCAGGCCTCTGCCTCTATACATTCACACACAAACAGTAGATGGCCAGACATCCTTCTGCCTCTATGGATACACATACCTGTCTATCTGAGCACTCCTGTATATAAATACACACTTATGAACGTATTTTCACAGCTCACTTGAAAGTCACAGAGATTAAATGCAGTCCTTTTGAACAAGGAATAGTAACAAGCAATCACTTGTTCTTCCTGTCCCTGTATTCTTTACCATGATTACGCACATCTCACTGCAGTGTGGATTCTCAAATGGAGTTTACCCACATGCTTACGTACTATGTCACCTTCAGTGGTTCCTCCAAATACCCCCCATACTTGTTGGCTGACCTGAAGAAGACACCTTCACTCTCCCTTACCTTTTCTAGCCCTGTTACTGACACACCTTTTACAGCTGAAGATGTGATTCTGAAGCCTGTAGCTGCTCCTCGAAGTAGAGGAGCTGATCTACTTCAAAGCAATCACTTGCTCTAGAAACCATGGTCTCCAGGTGTCTCCTGATCTCCTCCTCACTGGCGTTCTGCTGTCTCGCTTGCTTGAGATAGCTGTACACGGCCTCAAACACCTCTGCTCCCAGCTTCCCAACGGCAGATCTGGGCATAAAGATGAGAAAATGGTCAAGTAAAAGGTAATTCATACTCTATATTAATACAAGCAATAGCTAGTACAGATTTCTTCTACCTGTTGTAGCTACCTTTGGTTAAAATGATATACTGATGCACCTAGCTTGGCTGACAGTACAAGAAACTAGAGTTTCCTGGGGAATTTCTTCATGATTGCTTGTAATAGAAAGAAACAGGAGTGAAAGCCTGACCATAGTAAAGTCATGGCCATCGCCATCATTACAAACCAAGACTCCTTTTCATGATGAATCTGACACACCGTTTTATCTACAGCAAGCCTCATAGACAAACGTGTATTATTGCCTCTAGGCTGCCTCAAAACCAAAAGGAGTAACCCCAGGAGTAACACTGGTGGCATTTTATGTGAACAAACACATTTCAGGATCCATTGTTTTATTTTAGCTTCTATCAAATAACAAGGAAACCATTGCACAAGCTCAGCAGAAGCTGACTGACGCTTGCTTTCTGCAGCACTCTCCTTTTATTAGAAGACAGATCTGTAATTCAGGGGCAGAGAATACACTCACAGGATCTTAATGGTGATTTAGAAAGAAGATCCATTTGCAAACAGCAAGACAATGAACAGCACTTCTTCTAAACGCAAACATCTTCAAACTCACATTTCACAAGCCACAGTTCACCCCAAATTTTCCACTCAGTGATGGGCTCATAATATTTTGATGAAATTAAGTAATTTACCCTCAGCATATCAGAAACTATCTGCCCGCTCTGCACACACCCAGGATTTGTGTTGTTTTCCTTCACTACACCTTTACATGCTAGAGCAATTGAGATTTTATTGTCTTACAGTGTCCAACTGGCTCATTTTAGGGGTGATGATGCTCTTCACTTAGTTAGAAAAGGAGCTGGACTACTTGGGATCACCTTGCAGGGACATCTACAATTTGCATTAAAACACGTCTTATTCTGGGTAGGTAATGTTGTGGTAAGCAGCATTTTGCTAGGATTTCAAGAGTATTCAGGTGGGACAATCACTCCTTTTTCAGGAAATCCATCATGGCATGAAGACCTCTTCAATAAATGCTGAAATAAACCAATGGTATCTTAGATTCTAATGCTCTCACGTATTTCTCAAGCATTACAAGTACTGTGGCCCTAGCATGTTAAAACATTTGACGCCTTAGCACTTTGCTTTATGGTAATGCTTTTAGCAGAGCACATCTTCAGTGTGAGCAGTGTGCTCCTGCCTGAAGAGCAGTGCTTGCGGGGAGCACTCTGGTGCCCTGGGCCCATGTTGCCTGCAGTTGTGCTTATTGTGCTGATTTCTCACTGCTATTGTCTAACACCAGGGCAAGGCAAACTGTTCTAACCCCATAGCACCATCCAACTAAAGGAGTAACTGCTTTTTCATCTCTAGCCATCCTGTTGCTGTTGAGGAATAGCATTGCTAGAGTCAGACTGCAGCCAGTGAAACTTCCACATCCTGTCAATTCCTCCATCCTTAGAAAACCATGGTGAAGAATTTAACTTCATTGTTTCTCAAACTGCATTTGACATGAAAGCACCCAGTTTTCTCAGTGATACAGAACCACTTTATTAGCATGTGAGATAGATACTTCTGAAAAGCCCTCATTATATATATTAGGACCTACTGCTGGTGAAAGTGCACAATACATCCAACAACATACTTGTGCCTGAAGGGTATCCCACATGACTGCTCTGATCTCACAAGAAGGAAACATCTCCTCACATCCTGTCTTGCCCTCTGCTTTTCGGCAGCTCCGTCATTCCCAGCCATGATTCCAGCCCTCTGGCGACACATCACCCCTCCTGCTGGCTCCTGACAGAGGTGGATTGGGAATTGGGGCAGAGGAAGTGAAGACCCAAGATCAGAAGCCACAGATCCAAGCTGGAATCTCTGCAGGTGCAGGCCTGACTCAGTCCTGCTTCCTGTAATTAGAAACTGCCCTTCTTCTCCTACCAACAGTGCTTTTTTGGGGAAAACTAGTTGGAAGGGATTAATTCTCAGACACTGGAAACCAAGGGATTAGATAACCACAGAAAGCTAAGTAGGGATTTGCTTGGCAAATGATGTATATTTCTTCACACTTTACCAGAAATATCACAGTATTTCTCTGCAATGGTTCAAAATCAATACATAAGAAGTGATTTTGAAATCACTGCTACTTCACTAATGCTTTTACTGACTCCTCTCTCCCTCTTAGACAAGGATGTTTAATTTTTTGGCAGTCCTGTCTACTTAAAGATGAAAAATGAAGCAAACGTCCCCCAGGAGTATTGCTTCTGCTAATAAATGTGACCTGCAGACTTTAATCTTCTCGGTTAAGCTTGGCAGAGCATGCAAATCAGCTAATCTGTATGACAGCTGATACAATAGAATTATGGGGAATGTGTTCATAGGTGGAAAATTAAGGGGTTGGTAACAAAAATTAGAACCTGCTTTTACAAAAGAAGACATCAGGCTCTGTTTGGACTTGGGAGCTGCATTAATGCGAGGCTGCTACCACATCACACATCTCCTATCACAGAGACACAAGTGTGGTATCTAAGACAGTAAATGTCAAATAGACATTACTGGTTTGAATCTATCATCCTGATGAAGGGAGGGGGAAAGTGGCTTTTTGGAAAGTGAGGTTTGCCCATTATGGCCCCGATCCTGTGCTAAGGGATATTTGTCCATCCATGAGAAGTCCTACAGAGGCACAGTTACAGATTTTGCACTGACCTGTTCACACTTACTTCTGTTTCACATGGAATATGGGACACCTGCATTACTGGTTTGAAATGATTAAAGCCTTACCACCAAATGTGCTGGGTGAGCAAGTACAGGGCTCCCATTTACACTCTCTTTTGGCAACGTTTTCTGATTTACCGGCAGTTACTCTCTTTATGCCATCTTATAGCTCACTCACCATCAAACTCAGTATTTTCCACCAGAAATGAGCCATCATCTCTTTCTCAGCCAAGACCACAGGAGCAAAGGGGATACCTGACACCTGGCATTTCATGCCCACGACAAACCTTCTGGGCCACATCCCCATCCTACACTGCCTTAAATTGTTTTTCACTAGGCTGAAATCAAAGGACTGGCATCAGGCTCTACTAACCAAGGGTCCTACCCAGGATGATATACAGTAATGTGCTTAATGTCATATCACGGATTGTTCATTCTCTAGTTCCAATGTGTTACAGAGGCTTAGATACAAGGAGGGATTCATTCATTGCTGGCATTTGAGCACTGTGTTTCTTAATTTTCAGCATCTCATTCATGCAGTGGAATTCACAGCTCTCTGGTTGAATCCTGTGCTCCCTGTTCAATGAAGGCAGCCCAGAAGAGTGTTGACTCACAGCATTGGCCCACCACAACTAAAGAAAGTCATATCCTAAATCTGACACCTGTCTGGCTTTCCTGAAGTTGGGAATCACCGCTGTCAATGCTGCAATTCAACATGACCACATAGGTACACCATTGTCCCCTTTTATCCCAGGGTCCGTGGCTAGAGCATTCACCCAGAGAGCTGGAAACCTAGGGGGAAATGAAATTCAAACCCATACCTCCCAAAGCAGTATCAGTCAGACTGAGGGATGAAGGGCTCTTCTTGACCTTCACTCTTATTTGTACAAAAGCGCATGTGTTGGGACACAAGAGAACTGGATGATCTTCAGGTCCTTTCCAACCCTAACTATTCTACGATTCTATAATGAAGGATAACTCTGGATAGACTGAGGACTAAGGACAATGCTGAAGGTATGTGCAAACATCATTTGCATGAAACAGTCCCTGGATAAAATAATATGAGCAATCCTTGGGGTTCTGCAGTCCTTGGGACTGATATCCATGTTACCACATGTGAGTGAGAGCCCAAAGAGTGTGCTTTCTCACTGCAAACTTCGACTCAATGGTGAGCCCAGCTTTCCTCACTCCTGTCTGCAGACAGCATTCCCAGTGCTGCAGGTACAGGCTGGGGACCTCCATAGCCTGGAGGCATGCTGCAACCCACGAACCTACTATCAGCTGGACAGCAGATACTGCCAGTCCCCACACTGTCATCCATGGAAGCTGTGGTCTGAAAAATAACGCCTCTTGCTGCCAGTGTCTGTGCAGCACACAATCCACACCTAAAATGAACCAGAACAAGCCCCAGAGGGCATAGAGGCAAACAGGTTTGTGGGTAACTATGGGGTTTGGGCATGAGATCAAGAGTTTGGGCATGAGATAGGTTCTGTCAAGGGTAAGGTGCTTCTGAGCATGCGAGAAGCAACATGAGTATCAGCAATATCATAGGCACTTACCGCTTTGTCTCACTGTCAGCATTAGAGGGGAGCTGAATAGGAGCCTTGAGAACTGCAATTTTATACTCAGGGTGTCTAGAAATGTTCACATTGTGGATCTGGGCCCAAATGGATTTATCAGGCTATTCGGTGATTTGTGGTTGATTTCCTACACATCAGTGTAAAATTACTAAAACCTGACAATATAATAATGTTGTGTTCTCAACCAGCTGAGGAAGTTGTAAATCTTCCCCTGGGTGAACAAAGGATTTTCTATTATCCCATGGGTCTTTATTTTGACTATTCTGCCACGAGCTACATATTAACATTTCCTTTCTGGTTTGGAGATCAATTACAATACACCTACCCTTATGCAACACTGACAAAAGCCACAAAACAAGATTAATGCTTAAGCTGATGCTCCTCCATGGGCATTAGCAGCCAAGTTAGTATCTCTCAGCAGTTTGTCATTGCGTGCCTTGAAGGATAACTATGACACAAATCAGCAGCTAAGGGGGTTTTCAAGCTTCTCGTTATCAAATGTCATTCAGCATAATAGTGACTATCATTTATAACCATTCTCCTCTCCCCCGTCCACCCTCAAAGGAACTGCACTTTTTGCTCTCAAACACCAAGTTTTCACTAGTGCCTTCAGAGAGCTCAGTGTGGTTCATGCTTGGGAGCAAGGAGAGGCTCTGCAGCTCCCGAGTCACACC